AGGAAAAACTTCTTTACTGAAAGAGTGGTGAAACATTGGACCAGGCTGCACAGGGAAGTGGTGGAGTCCCCATCCCTGGAGGTATTTAAAAGACATTGTAGATGCGCACTTAGGGACATGGTTTAGTGGGCATGGTGGTGTTGGGTTGACGGTTGGACTCGATGATCTTAGAGGTCTTTTCCAACCTCAATGATTCTGTGATTCTATGATTCTATATCCTTGAGCACAGAAATGGCAGGGTGACACTCGGAAACTGCTCAGCAGGAGCCGCAACATAGCACTAGTGAAAAACATAAAGACTGAAAAAATTCCTGGTGTGGAGCTGCCTTTGGTGGGGTTCCCTGCAGAAAGGGGATGGAGAAACACAGATCTCCCCCGGAGGTGCCCCCCACTTGAGCACAGAAATGGCAGGGTGACACTCGGAAACTGCTCAGCAGGAGCCGCAACATAGCACTAGTGAAAAACATAAAGACTGAAAAAATTCCTGGTGTGGAGCTGCCTTTGGTGGGGTTCCCTGCAGAAAGGGGATGGAGAAACACAGATCTCCCCCGGAGGTGCCCCCCACCCAGCCCAGAGCCCCCCACAGCCCCGGCTCTGCTCTCACCCTGCCCTGCTGTCTGCAAAGCCAGTTCCCATTTGTCAGGATCTGTCCCTGGCACAGGGTCCTTCCATACTCTTGCTTTTATGCAGCACTGCTCCTGGTGTGTGCTGGGGTAATCAAAGCTGGAGCCTGATCCCCCCAAAATCATCATGGACATGAAAGCCGGCTCCTGGATTGTTCCCAGGCTGCTGCAACCTGCGCAGGGCAGACATGGACTATACACCAGGCAAATGCTTCCCATATGCCTTTATTTGCAAAGTTACAGGATTTTTTTACAGGCACTGTGCGTTGGTGTTTCAGACTGGTTTGGATTTTTCTCTGTATTACCAATGACCAAGAGGGGAGGTGGGAGCCGGGAAAATCCCTCACAGCAACCATTCCAGCCTCCAGAAAGGCATAAGACATCTGAGAGGAACAATCTGCTTCTTCTGAAGCCACGAAGCAAGGAATCTGGTTTATAAACAGGCTTAAAAAATAATATACATATATAGGAGCAGCTCAAAGCTAAAGTACAGCGATAACTGGTACATACCTATGCATATCTCTTCACACCCTTTCTCCAAAGCTGGAAAAGGGATGGTTTAAAAACTAAAAACACAGTTTAAAAAAAAAAATAAACAGGGATTCCATGCATTAAGGTTTAGTGTTTTGTGCAATTAAAATGGGATGAAAATAAATATAACTTAAAAAAACCCAACCTTTTCCATGACACTAATGGAACAGAGGCAAGTCTATAAGGCACTTCCACATGGGCTATTCTAGAAAGCCTGGCAAAGAGCTAAAACAGTGCAACCATTTACAATGGCATCAGATGACCTAAAGACATCTGCCTGGTGAAATATGAACTGAGAAAAACCTTAGGAAACTTCAATAGTCGGGAAAGAGGCTGGGGCATGGCTGCAGACAGCTCAATGGCCAATTCCTCCTCCTTATTGCTGCCAGGAGAAGACCTCCCCCACCGAGGATGCTGGACCCACCGAATGATGGCAGAGGGGGTCTAGAGCACTGCTCCTGGGGAGCGAGATGAGACGGTGGGTTTGGGGATGGAGTGGGTGAGGGATTTGCGGCTGTCGATCTCCTGCACCACCTCCAGCGCTGCACTCTCCTTCTGTCCTCAATGCGAGGGACTCCCTGGCTTGCCCTGCAGCCTCCCCTGCCCGCTGTCCTCTCAGTCGCTGACCTTTAGCAAGCAAGCAGCTTAGTTCAAATGTTCCAGGAAGTTAAAAAATAGCCTCCGCCCTAAATAGGGAACTGGGTGTTTTCACAGGAGCGGGAGCGCAGAGGCCATATACGCATCCTGAGCAGGCTGGGAAGCCAGCGCCGAAGAGCAGCAGCAGAGTCAGCCAGCTCTGCGGAAAAAAAGGGAAGGCATGGGGATGCCTGACCCCAACTCTGCTTCACCAAAGATGACTAACCTGGCCACCTCGAGAGCTGCTTTGCTGCTGTAACCCTTTGCCCACCGCCAATAAAAATTACAGAGATGCTCCAGGCAGGAGGGTTGCCCTGGGCCAGGAGCGGGCATTGGCGGCACTACCCCTACACACGTGCTCACCTGCTGCCAAAAAAGACCAATCAACCTGGATGGCTACTTTAGGTCTCATAGTAGTCCCTTATAAGCTATTTTTCTCCCCCCTCCCCCCCCGCCCAAAGTCTTTATTCCCCGTGGAGGGCTGGAGCCCCCAGCTAAGGAGGTCTGGAAGCAGCTCCTAGCAGGGGAGCTGGGTCTCTAGAGAGGAGCTTGAAGTGTTACCCACCACGGGGCACGTGGGTGGGAAGCACCTGGCCATTGTAAATACCTGTGCCTGAGCACATGGCCCCGCAGCAGGAGAGAAACCCTCGCCCCCGCCAATAAATTACAGAGATGCTCCAGGCAGGAGGGTTGCCCTGGGCCAGGAGCGGGCATTGGCGGCACTACCCCTACACACGTGCTCACCTGCTGCCAAAAAAGACCAATCAACCTGGATGGCTACTTTAGGTCTCATAGTAGTCCCTTATAAGCTATTTTTCTCCCCCCTCCCCCCCCGCCCAAAGTCTTTATTCCCCGTGGAGGGCTGGAGCCCCCAGCTAAGGAGGTCTGGAAGCAGCTCCTAGCAGGGGAGCTGGGTCTCTAGAGAGGAGCTTGAAGTGTTACCCACCACGGGGCACGTGGGTGGGAAGCACCTGGCCATTGTAAATACCTGTGCCTGAGCACATGGCCCCGCAGCAGGAGAGAAACCCTCGCCCTCCAGTGCCACCTGAAAATAACTGAGCAACCTCTACAGGATGTCTTGAACGCAAAGAAAAACCCAAATCTGCCCTCCTAGCATCTCTTAAGGACTCGGCCCAGCTAGGTCCCTAGGCTGAAAGGTGCTGGCAAAGACAACTAAAGGGCTTCCACCCCAGTATCCTTCGCCATCTCCAGGCCTTGCTCACACACCCTGTCTGCCAGAGGGTCCTGAGCACGGCCACTGAGTGTTTTCGGCTCCTTCCTTCGCCAGCCCCCTTAAAGGCCCTTTTAAAATCAGGCTGCGCAAGAGACAAAAGCACGACAGGCAAAGCACGCGCTTGCCTAAGCAATCCCTCCAGGCTGCTCCCGGCCGGCATGGCCATGTGCTCCTACTGACTCTGCGAAGCCAAGGTTTCAAGTTCAGCTTTTGTTCTGGCAGGTTAGCTCTCTATTTACATGGAGAGGAAAAAAAAAAAAACCAAGACAACCTAAAAAACCACAACAAAACCACATTAAATAGGGAGAGTATAGCTTTCAAATGGGAAGGGCAAGGACTGGAAAGTGTCTTGTAGTGCAGTTCAGAAGAGTCAGTCAGGGGCAGGTTGGGGGTAGTGGCAGTCGGACACGCAGCTTTAATGCAAGTCTTCGCTCTGGGACAACTCTGTCAGGATCTGAATGAGGTTGTCCAGCCCCCAGAGGTAGCCGTCCTCTCTGTTCCCTTCCACCCAGGGCACGTTGTGCTGGAGAACTTGTCCCTCCGGCAGCGGGGTGGTTTTCCCAAAGTCAATCATCCAGACTTTGGCCTGTTCCTTCTTGTCGTGAATGAAGAGGAGGGAGCTCCCGATTACCTGCAGAGAGGAGAGACCAGTTAGTGGTGCTCCTATTGCTCATTCTCACCCAGCTTTGGGGCTTTCAGACACCTTATCTCAGGCTGCATTTGCAAGAGATGATGCTGAGATTTTGCATGAGCAAAAGCAAGCTCTGTGTGTTGCTGGCTGTGTTTGCACATGCAAATTGGTTATGCAGACAAGCTGATTTACTCATACAAATCCCAGCTCTTGGCAGAAGGAGAGGATCAGAAAACATGAGCATGGAAGATAGAGATGTCATTTTGGAAACTGAGTCAAGGTCCCCGCGGAAGGAATGAGATGAATTGTCTCAGCCTTCAGATGGGGATTTTTTCCAAGTCCGATCCTTTGTGACCAGCTCATGCTATTCACACTCACCAGCCCTGCAGACATCACCACAGGGATGGGTACGCTCCAAGTACCAGTTACCTGCAATGTGCTATCTCCTGCCTGAAACACCTCCTGGCTTTCACAGAGCTCTGGGGATGCAAGTTACAGAGGTGCATGTACATGAATTTCCTTTTCCATGAGTTTACTCAGCTGCATCTGCTTTGAAGGGCTCTTTCATATCCCGATTGGCCTTTGGGAAAATCCTGCAGCAAGTATTGTCCTGGGCACGCCCGGGGAAGCCCATGGTGCATTTGGGGATGTGAAGCACATCGCCTCTGACAGCAGAAGTCTCAAGGCCTGTTGCAGCAGGACGAGACACCACGAGCCCAGTGCTCACCACCCATGGAGTAAAGAGATGCTCAGCAGGTGGGTACCTCCAGCTCAGCCCCCTGGCCCATCCTGGCTCGCAGTCCCAGCCAGGCTGCCACCCAGCAGCAGCTCCAATGTGGCTTTCCTGATGCTTGGGGAACACATATCGGTGTCAGGCCATTCACCATCGTGCTCTTCTGCTGAATCTGCTCCTCCAGTCAGAAGATTTTAGCCGGCAGTACTACAGAAAAGCACCAATGAGTGTGCTTCAGAGCTGTCCCAAATGAAGATTACTTTCCACATTATGTCCGATGTGCATGAATTGGTGGATTACAAACTCGCTTGCCCTTGTATTACAAATAGAGACCTTGGTGACCAGAGTGCAATGGCTGTTAGCAGACAGGACGCAGTGTGCTGAGAGCCGGGAGCGCCCCATAAACTGTGCAGATATGTGGAGGAGCGCAGCTCTAGGGGCATCCAGCTGGTGTCAGCGCTCCAAAACAGCAGCACCAAATGTTACCGGGGACTCCCATGTCCGTGCTATCAGCAGGGTTTAGTTTGAGGTTTGCCTTTAGACGAGGGTTTTGAACGGGAAGCATGTACTGTTTGCAAAAGCTATTATGAATTTACATTTTTGAGGAGACTTCCTCCTCCAGCGCATTGGGAAGACATCCAAGGTCCAGAGATACATATTATTTCCCAGAAATGCTTATCTCTAGCTCTTCTCCTTCTAAGCTCTTATAGTTGTCTCTTGGCCAGGACAGAGCATTTTAACTTTAAGGAAAAGCCTTTTGCTGACATTCTTCGCTCGTCTGTCCTGGGTTGCCGAATTCTCCTGCAGCTCCTCGGAGGAACCCTGCCCAGCAAGGGCCCCGTGGAGCAACACGCAGAGCTTGGCAGACCTTCTGCTGCGCTTCGTCTCGAAGTGGGATGGAAAGTCAAAGCTGCTGCTTTTTAATTTTTAAGGAGTAGAAACTCCTTTCAAAACCTCCTTAAAAGGCTGTTTTGTTTCTGTGTTTTCAAATGAAACCCTGGCACTTGGTTTCAGGGAGCATTTTGTTTCTCATGTTGAACCGACCTGAAACCCTCGGTTTCAACATTTCCCTTCCAATTGCCTTACAGGCACTGCCAGCAGGAGGCACGGCCCCTCCTGCCTCCGGCACCCGGCAAGGCCCTCTGTGTGCGGCCGGCGCTGAGGTGGCTCACACGGCTCCGGCTGAGGGACAGTGGGCTCTTGGAGCTGTGGCTTCTGCTCCCTGTGAGTCGAGGGTTCCTACGAGACTCTTTTGCCCATAGACAACATGTGCCAAGGACGTGTGCTCTCATGTTTTGTTAAATAGATGCAATGGCAAATACTCTTTGCCAATGCTAAATCAATAAAATAATTTAATTAAATTATGGAGCATTCCAATTCCTGTTGAAATGGCCAAAAAATGTAGTGCTTCCTCTTTGTTTTCCCACCAGAACTGAATTTTCACTGTTGAAAATGTTGATTTCGTGGACACTCATTTCTGGAGGAAAGTCCTTCCAAGGGAAGAGTCCTTACCGCGGTGCCCCAACCAGCTCAGCAAAGGCAGTTTTGGGATATCTGCAATTTATGGCTACGTTGAAGCCTTGTTTGATCACATGGAGCAACTGGCAGCCAAATGATACCTGACGTGCATTCAGACAGGCATTTCTCTCCAGAAAACCCCTATACTTTTTACATTAAGGATTCTTCCCTGTCATATAAACTCACAAGCAGTCTGAATTCCTCCTAGATCACTTTTAATCTGTATGAACATTGGTTTTCAGTAGATTTGAGCCCATGTCAGATGCATGAACATTATATCAGTCATCAGCTGTATTTCCACATAAGTATTAGATAAACAGGGGCATGAAAATATGGATATAAGAATAAATTCAAAATTGTATAAGTTTACAGCCTCTGACTTTGACTTCTCTTCTCTCCTTGGACAAGCTGAGATTAAACCGTTTGCATTTCCAGGCAGATTTATCTAAACACAAGTATTACCTCATGGCATTTGAAGAACGGGGATGTCTCCAGGGTAGCGCGGATACCCTTCAACCGGTTAAGGTAACTGTTCTGGAATTACAAAAGAAAAAAAAAAACCAAAACCCAGCGTCAGCGCTGCAGGAAGCCTACATAAAAACTGCTGCACGGGGCAGACAGGAAAGTCACCCCTCCCAGCATCCTCTCCATGATACCATGTTTGCATGGAGAGATGCCGGGTGTGTCCCTCAGCCGCCCTGCGCTCAGCATCCTCCCACAGACCTGTCCCCTGGGAGGGTGTCCCCTCTTTTTTGGGATCCACTTATCCTTTTGGCCTCTATGGCATCCTGTGAGCTCCTGTGGCTTCCAAAACTTAGTGCGAGCATTTGCTTTTGCTGAACCGGTGCTTTCTGCGGACTTTCCCTGCTGCATCCATGGTGCTCCCAAGGAGGGAACGGCTAATTCAGCAGCCGCTGCTGTGCATACACAGCCAGGCTGCTTTTTTCTCTCACCTGCACTCTTTTTAACAGGTCAGCTCTTCACCTCCTCTGTCATTTTATCACTCAGTCAGTCAAGCGTCGTGAGACACTTCTGTAACTCTGTATCAGCACTTCTGCAAAGTTGGTACCGCAGGTGGAAGGGCTTTCACGCTAGTCAGCATGCAGGTCAAGACCCACGCGCCTGTTTAAGCATCCCTGCAAATTGCTGGAAGGCACTAAACATTCTCAGGGGACCCCTTTGATAATTTGATTTTGAGGTTTAGATAGATGGACTAAGCGCAGGAACATGCACAGCAGGTATCTGAGCACTATAATACACCTAAATTTTCACACTTTGACTGCGTGGGGAGATGTGGGGGTCGCTGTATTACAATGGTTTGGCCAAGGAGCCCCGTCCAGAGCCAGGACAAGACGGTGTGAGTGTGCTCCAAACTCTTTGGGGATAAAATGCAGCCAGGCAACTTCATTTTCAGATCCAGGAATGATCCCTGGGTAACTCTTGTCAAAGCAAACATGCCAGTTTGAAGGAGGCAGTGCCAAGGGCCACTCCAGCTGGAGCCTTGCATTTGTAGGCTTTATATAGTACAGCTTAAAATGGGAGCGCTTTGTCAAATAGGATATTTGACACAGTCAGTGTAAATTGTTTACAGCTACATCTCTTATTCTCCTGGCAACCTAGAGAAACTTGGGAAATGCTAACCACAGATTGCCCATGCGAAGGGTGCCTGGCGCAGGCAGGGGGATGCCTTGGCCACCCTTCCTGCGAGACCAAGCGCAGGGCAGCCTGCTCTGCCAGGGTGGGAGCCCCTGCCAGTGCATACTGGGGTAAAGAGCAGGCTCAGAGGCTGCTGTCAGCCCCAGGGATGAGGGGGCAGAGCGTGGCTGTGCCTCCGCAGCGGGTTTTGGGGCCAACCCTCAGCAGACTCGGACCCGGCTCAAGCAGTGCTGCTGCAGTAAACGTGTCCCCTCCCAGCCCTATGCTGCTCTCCCCTCACCCCTGTGCCAGGATGGTGTTTCTCTTTGCCATTTTTCATGCTTTTTTAAGAGAGATTGCTCAGGCTGCAGCCCCTCAGGGCAGGGAGCTGATGAGCCGAGGCCAGCCTCCACAGGAGGAGCCCTCTCCAGGCAGCACCCCCAGCATCCCCCACTCACCAAAACATTGCAGTTTCCTCTGGTGAACTCCCTGAAGGCCTCTGTGACTTGTTCCTTTGTCCGCGTCTTCTTGAAGTCCCGGTTCACAGTGCCATCCTCTTTCTTGAAAAGAAGGGAGAGCGGTGAGTAGGATGGGGAGGGAGGGAGCTGGGGCAGGACTGGTGTTTCAGCAGCCATGCATGTCCCATGAGTAGGATGCGACCAACCTTTCTGGCAGCTGAAGGACCTGTCTATGGAGGAGGGGTGAGCAGAGGCAGCAGCTCTCTGCCTTGCACATCCCAAATCATCTCACAGCTCTGCTGCATTGCCCCCTAATGCAAATGGCAAGTCTCCATCATCACAAGCTTGCCGAGGTCACCAGCAATGTGGACAAGCTACCTCTCATGGACCTGGCGCTTGCTGCCAACAGAGGCTGGAGACCACCTGTTTCTGGCCATGCTGTGCCCAAATGGCTTCCCGTTGCTGCTGTGGCTGAGCACAGGTGCTGACACCAGCCTCGGGCTGCACCCCTGCTGGGGGAATAAAGCAGAGCATGACCACGGCAGGACAAAACTGAGTGTGGATGGAGACAACATCTCAGGAGCAGGCAAAAAAAGCCCTCCACGAACCACTGCAGCAAGGAGATGAAGGCAAGGAGCAAGCCCCACGACTGTCTTGCCTCACTAGTCTTTTGATAGTCCACGGATAGCAAACCCTCAAAGGCAGCAGCCTGGCACTGAGATGCAGTGAGCAGCCTTGTGCTCTCCTCTGCCTCTTCCCCAGAGCCACATCCGTGCTTGGCCCGCCGCAGGGAGGGCAC